TAATGCCAACTAAACCTACCTCAATTAGGGAAGCACTGAAGTCCAAACACTGAAAATCAGCTATGGAAAAAGAATTGTAAACTTTAAAGCTAAACAACACTTGATCTCTAGTTCCCTGCACATCTTCAATGAAAATTGTTAGCAGCAAATGAGTATTCAGAGTTAAGGAAAATATGGATGACAGTTTCCAGAAATGCAAAGCAAGGTTAGTAGCAAAAAGGTTATATCATAATATAAAAATTGATTATGGTGAGACCTTCAGTTCTGTAGTTAAAGCTTCGACCATTATTGCCATTATTACTTGGGTGGTCAAGTAACTTGACATAAATAATGTTTTTCTCAATAGTGATCTATAAGAGCTAGTTTATATTCAACAACTTGAGGGGTTTAAAGAAAAAAAGCAAAATTGACTATGTCTGCAAGCTTAACAAAGCCTTATATTGGTTGAAACAGGCACTTAGGACCTGCTTTGAAAAGGTCAGGAAAGCCTTACTAAATTGGGGCTTCATAAACTCAAAATGCAACTCCTCACTCTTCATCTTAAAAAACAAAAGTGAAATCATATTTGTGTTCATATATGTTGATGATTTGATCATAATAGGTAATAATCCTACCTCACTTAAAAGGTTTGTGCAAGAGCTGGACAAATTATTTTTCCTGAATCACTGCTTCTTTTTCTCGAAATTGAGGAGATAAAAGATGATTCATCATTTTATCTAACACAGGCAAAGTATTTTATAGAAATGCTTAAGACAACATATATGGAAAACTCTAAGTAATGCTCTAAACCAGTCATTCTTAATGCTGCATAGACTACTTATGAAGGAGAACTACTCAGAAATCCAACATCATACAGAAAAATCATTGGTTCCTTACAACACTTGACTTACACCAAACCAGATATTGCTTTATCATCAACAAACTAAGTCAATTTTTTGCAACAACCGAGAATTAAGCACATGAATACAATCAAGAGAGTTTTAAGATATCTAAAGGGCACCAAAAAATCTGGTCTTCATATACAGTCATGTAACAACTATACTCTGATAGGGTTCTCATATACAGACTGGGCATGTAACAGGGATGACAGGAGATAGACAACTAGTTATTGTGTGTAACAGGGATGACAGGAGATAGACAACTAGTTATTGTGTGTATCTCGGCTCAAGTGTGATTTCCTAGAACTCTAAAAAACAACATGTGGTGGTAAGATCCAATGAATCTGAGTACAGGTCCTTAGCTCGTGTTTCTTGTGAAATTTCATGATTAGAACCACTACTTTCAGAGTTATCTATTTTTCTTTCAGCAACTCCCATTACTTAGTGTGATAACATGAGTGCAAGTCAACTAACAAATAATCTAGTTTATCATGTAAGAACCAAACACATAGAAGTAAACATTCATTTTATACAAAGTTCTTGATAGTAAACTTGGAGTGAGGTATGTCATTTCTCAAGACCAAATTGTGGATTGTTTAACAAAAGTTCAAGTTGCTGCTCAATTCTTCCATTCAATAAGCAAACTTGGAGTGGTAGAGAGACCTCTCCCACTGCCAAGCTTGAATAGGGATGTCAAGAATAATGTTATGACCTTTACTATTGCAGCTGTCAAGAAACAGCCAAGGAAGACCATCAGCACAAAATTCTACGGTCACAACATGCACAACACATAATCCTGCACAAGGGAACACCATTAGCACAAAATCGGACACCTGCACTTACAACCTGCCCAACCTTATAACAAATAAAAATTTGTTGTAATAAATTTTGTCCTCTGTTGACAGCTGCAATTATTTTATTAGAACATTTGTAAAACTTTGATTCATTGTAAAATTTTGTAAATGATTTTTCATCTCAGCAAAGTATTGTCTAGCTATCTCTTTTTTATTTTTGTCTGTAAGTTACTTGCTGTAATTAACATAAAACCATATGGCTAAATATTACATTTGTCTATATATTATTTTTAAAGACTGAAATTAACTCCTGTGCTAATTCCTTTTTTCTTTTTTGATCAATCTATTTTCAGAAAATACATATATTGATTTTTATTTGTTAAATATTATTAGTAAATTCACCATATAAAAGTAAGTTGGACATATTATTGTTTTTAATTAAGTAAATAATAAAAACTAAAAAAGGTAAAAAAAAAAATAAAAACATAAAGCCAAAAAAAAGCTCCCTCCTCATTCCAGCTTTCTATTGATGAGCACCGCTGCCACGCCGGAGTTGGTTGGTGATTTGCCTGTGCCTCGATGATGGTAGCAATCTAAATGGATATTATTCAAGCTCTGTAACTGATAAAGAGACAAGCAACACATAAAAGAAAGAAGAAGAGGATTCAAAAGTATCGGAGATGAGTTTCGTTTCTCTTCTCTCATTCTGTTTCTCCTTTCACAAAGTAGAGAGCTCACTTGAGAGAGAGAAGGAGAAAAAGAAAGAAGACGGTAAGCCGCAGGCGTTGTTGCCATGATTTTCAGAACAAGAGAAAGAAAGAAGGAACCCGACCGTTGCTCCCTTGGGAGAGAGGGAAGAAAAAAAGAAGGTGGAGAGACTGGGGATTTTCTTCATTATATTTTATGTTTTTAATTTTTAATATATTAAAAATAATTTAAAATTATAACATTTTTTATATATCAAATGCTTGTAACACTTAACAATTAATAAATAATTAAAATTTACTCAAATAAAAATAATTACGTGCACAACTTCCAGTCACATGACAAATTTATTAAAATATTAGTAATAATTAATAAATATAGATTAATACACTTTTTTTTAAAAAAAAAGAGAAATTAAAAAAATAAAAAAATTAGTGGAAGAATAAAGTCTAATTTAATATTAAAACTTAAAAATAAATGTGAAAATATTTTTTTTGAACTCTCAAAACTTACCTAATTGTTGAACTAAATTATAGTTTATATATACATATTTCTAAATAGTAAACTAAAAATTATTAAATATAGTTAAATAAAAATTAATATATTTTTAAATTATTAATATTAATAGATTACAACTTTGGAAAGTAAAAAAAATTAATATTAATTTATGTTATTAACATTAATATATTTTCATATTATATGTCAACACAGTTTATTTATGATAAATTTTATTTACTTATTTATTGTTAAATAATTTAATTTTGTATTTACAAAGAAAAAAATTTGACATTTTGTTTTATTAATGCTAAAGGTATATTTACTTTTAGTTTTTTAAATTTAATAAATTTATTAACTTACAGAGGGATATTCCCTACCTGTATAAATCCATATTTATTTCTTCTTCCCGCCGACTCTGTGAGACCTTCTTCCGCTTCTCTGAATCTCCTCCTTCTAATCGTATTCTCTCCTCTCTTGTAGCCCACACCAAGCGGAAGTCATTACACGTTGATACTTTCCTCTTGTAGTCGACAATACAACTTCCTAATATTCTCCCAACGCCACCGCTGCTTCCTGTATTCTTCTCCTCTGAGTTACTGTTTAGTTTGAGCATAAATTTGGAGATTGAGCGAGTTGCAAAGGAGTCAAAATATATATATTAATCTCATCTCTCACGGTAACGTCTCTTTCCCCTTGTTCATTATTATATTTATTTAATTTTTAGAAGTACGATATTTTTCTAGAACGAGATAAACAGCGGCAACTATCGAAAAGGAGGGAGCTCGCCTGGATGAAGGGCAGAGTAGAGTCCCTCTCTGCCATGGCGTTGGGTTTAAGCCAACATGCTCTCTCGTGTTTAACCCATGTGAATGTGGAAGTGTTGTGTAGGATACTTGTCTTTCTCTGCTTCTGTATCTGAATCTCCGATGTGTAGGATGTTGGTTCCGATGAAAGTCAGGATTTACTAGAGAAATTTTAGAATGGAGGCGAGATTATTGCTCTTTTAATTGTTGGATACTACTTTCCCCACTTTTTCTAAGAAAGTGTCAAGGGTTGGGCACCTCTGGATGCATTAGCCAAATATTTTTCTACTGCATTCTTAGAATAGTTGAGAGATTGTTCGAGTGAATTTGCAAATATTAAGTATTGGAGATAGATGTATTGTCCAGAATTTGTATGAGTTTGTTGTATTTGTTGCATACACTTTGTAAGCAAGTTGGTTCAGTTTCTACTGATAAACAGTTTAGGTGTTTGAAGATCTATTAGAATGTTTATCTAATTGGAGTAGTCATAGAGTGTTCAAGGAGCACAAATATGTTGGTAGTCCTTGTATACTACCAACTAATAGCTTTCAAACAAACAACTTTAAAATCATATGATAAATTAGGGCTAACCTTCTTACTAATGAATTTGAGGAGAAAAACCTATACATTGCACCGGGGAGTTTTGGTATCTCACAAAAGAATTCTTAGGGCATTACATTTAAGTATTTAACTTGCATCATACAACTAGAAACATCAAAAGAATTCTTAAATAATTTTTATTGAATAATTGAACTCTCTCTTTTTTTTTTTTGAAATAAAAAGTATAGAGTATCATTAATTCATGGTACCCATCCATGTGAAAAATAATCTTACAAATCAGTTAGTATATCAATTTTTTTTAAAATAAAAAGTATATGGTAGTATATTAAATCAGGTAGTATATCAACAAAATCCCCTAACTCTTCAATAGAAAGAAAGTGTGCCCTATCACCAGAAAACCCTACACCTGGAATCATATACCTCTAACTCTAACCAAATCCTCATTCTTCCCCTCAAAAGCTCTCTTGTTTCTCTTCTTCCACACAAACCATAATATGGTAAGAGGAATGAGACTTACATGTTTTCTTCCATTGCTAATGCCTTTCCAAGCCCATAACTTGTCTTTTACCGAGCCAGATATTGCAGTTTATTCCCAAAGATCCATAGGTCATAGTCCATAATTTGTATGTAGACGGACATTAAGCATAAATGATCATGAGATTTTGCCTCCCTTTTGTATAGGAAAGATCATTTACCAAAAGTTTTCCCCACTTCAAGAATTTATCTATTATGAAGAAAGGGATGGATAAGGGTGGGCTGGGTCTAAGATCTATTGCAGATTTGAATGTGGCACTTCATGGGAAATAACTATGGAGGTATTGCAACGAGGATGACAAACTTTGGAGGAAGGTGGTGGAGGTGAGATGGGGGAATTGGGAGCGAGATGGGGGGAGAAGAGGGAAATACAAACAGCATAGAATGAATTTATGGAAGAGAATCAGTGGGGAAGGCAGTAGATTTTGCAAATGTATGGTTGGAAGGTGGGGAATGGAGAAAGGGTGAGTTTCTGGCAGGATGATTGGGCGGAGGTTTTTAAATTGAAAGATAGATTCCCTAACATCTACAATATTGCTAGTGAGAGGGATATTACTGTGGATAAAGTGTGTGGGAACGTTGGTGGGGGGAGGGGATGGAGTGTTCAGGTGAGAAGGAACTTGAAGGACTAGGAAGTTGATGAATACTGCAATTTACTCAATGTGCTTGCTGGAATTAACTTGAACAATAGGAAGGATAGGAGGATTTGGAAGTTGGATGAGAAGAATGGGTTTTCGGTAAAATCCTACTACACTTTTATAGCTAAAGGGGAGAATGGTAATAATGTGACAGTCCCATTTAGATTCATATGGAAAATTACAGCCCCCCCTAGAATGACTTTCTTTGCTTGGGAAGTTTCAAGAGGAAGTATTTTGACAATTGATATGTTAAAGAGGCGGGACAACATTCTTGTTAACTGATGTTACTTATGCAAGGCTGATAAGGAAACATGTGACCACATTTTATTATTTTGCCCGGTTACACACAGCTTATGGATGTCGGTATTCGGGATGATGGGGGTGAGTTGGTTAATAGCGAGTAATGTTAGTAAAGAATTGTAGGCTTGGACAGGTTTTTGTAAAAAGAAAAAACATTTATTTTTGATTCCACTTACCATTTTTTGGGTTGTGTGGAAAGAAAGAAATGTTAGAGTATTTGAGAATATTGAAACGGATTTTGTAAACATCAAAGATAGATGGTTAAATATTTTTGGTTCCATTTTACTAGGTCATGACATATTACATTGGGTAATTCTCCCTAATTGATATGTAACTCCTATGTAATTGGGTAATTCTCCCTTAATACCTTTGTGAATAATAATACTTTCATCTTTTATTTAAAAAAAGAAAAATATATCTGCATACCACTTCCCATGGAAAGAAAGCAACTGTGGGAGGAGCATTAGCTTCCAAATTTGCTGGAATAGGAATTTAACCTGTTCTAATTTGTTCTCAACAAAATAGTTATAAAATGACTTGACCGTAATAAGCCAT